ATGGTAGAAATAGGTAAGAGAGTAGCAATGGAGGCCAACAATGGTGCAAGAGCTAGGTATTTTGTTGACTACCAGTTGTGATAGATTTTTTTTTATAATTATTTATAATTACTTGCTAAGCTACTTAATTGAATATTATCATACATATATATATATATATATATATATATATATATATATATATACACAATATACTTATTGTAGTATATATATTCTTTGATGTTTTAGTTGTTGTCATACAGTATAATTACTTATAATTATTCAAATCTTTAAACTATTAATCATTTTTTTTACTTAATTTTAATTTTTTTATCTTAATTTTAATTTTTTAAATAAAATATAAAATGACTTAAGTTGAGTCAACTACTAATAATAAAAGTAGAACTCTTCATAATAGTACGATAATAATGACAATAAAATTATACTAATTAATGAGATGAGCAATAATAATAATAAAGTTGTAGTGGTTGTAAAGACACGAGGCGTAGCAAATGATAATAAAATCGTAGTAGTCGGAAAGATAGGCACGATGTTTAAATTTAAAATGTTGTTTGGGAAAAGCACGAAAACGAGTACAAGAGAGCATAGCAATATCGTACTGCCACCTAGCTATAATGGCCGTAGCGCCCCTTGACAACGGCTACATGATCACATTCAAATTCAATATAAATCCTCGTACTATGGGAATCCAAAGATTATATTTTAATCAAATAATAATAACCATCGACACTTGTCAAACAATTATCCATTCTTTACGCTTCAATGACTATGAGAGCCATCTCTAATAAGTGATGACAAATAATAAGGTGTATTTATTAAACAAAAAAAATTAAATGTGTTTACTTTATTATCTTTTACAAAATTTTAAAATTTAGAAAAATATCATTTAAATTATTATATATTATTAATTTATTAATTTTTATACAAATTATATTTTAAGTCATATAAAAGTAATTTCTTATTAGATGCTTACATCATCACAATACATTTGTACTACTATACTAAACTCCTATATTAAATGCTAAGATCTTATATCTACACAGATGTGAACATTAGACCACTGGTTTCACTGAAAGTACTCCTCCTAGTGTGGTCTTAAACGACAAATGCATGCCTTCTCTATTAAGATTAATATATGTAATAAAATAGTTTTTCAATTTATTTAAAACTAATATATAAATTAAGTGATATTTCATTAAAAATAAAAATAATAGTAGAATATTAAATGTATTTTTAAAAAGGTATAGAAGGATAAATTAAATATTAAAATTAGAAGAAAAATGATAAGTTAAATACAATACCACGTGGGTACAAAAAAATAAATTATATTATATAGAAACCTAAGTCTCAACTGTTTTACATTCATAATTATTAATTGTTGGCACGCTAGTGAGGAGCAGAATGTCAGACATTGTGGTTTGTTCACATTGTTTTCACTTTTTGCTATGACTAAGGATGTGAATCACCCAATCCAACATCAACAACTCTGGTCACCAAACGTAACAGCAATGGGAAATCAAATTTATGACTATCAAAAGAAGAGAGAAATATTTGGAATGTTTCACTTTCACACCAAGACATTTCTTTTTCATTTTTTTTAAGAGGATAAATAATGAATATAATTATGTTTTAACCAACATATAGCGGTCATGGTTTCACTGATTGATTATTTTATTTTTCCATTATTGGGGGAATGTTGTAAGACATTGTGAGAAGCAGTGGCAACGTGTCATTTAGAATTATTTGATTTTATATTCATAATAGTGTCATTTAGAATTATTTGATTTTATATTCATAATAGTGTCATTTAGAATTATTTGATTTTATATTCATAATAGTGTCATTTAGAATTATTTGATTTTATATTCATAATAGTGGGAGAGAAAGGGAGAGTGTGGGTGTCGTACTGGTAGTGGTAGTGGTAGCAGCGAGAATTTAATGATTTAGTGCGTGTTTACTTTAGCTTTTGGACGTGAAAATTCACGTTTGTGATAAGTAAAAAATTGTAACTTCTACATAAATTAACTTGTAAACGTTGAGAGACAGCGAAAAATCATGTTCTAAATATAAAGCAAACACGCAATTAATGGAAAGGGGAGCATCTCGCCTCGCTACCCTACGTAATCAACAAATCTACGCCTCCATCTAACTACCTATTCCCAAAACCACTCATGCCTTATATTTTTAACTATTTTTTAATCTTTTAAATTTTTATTTATTTTTTATGATTTAAAAATAATAATTTTTTTATTATAATTTTATTATAAAATTTATCAAATATTATCTTATAAAATTTATTTATCGATATTTCTTTTAATAAAATATGATATTAAAATAATTAAATTTAGTTTATATTTATAATTAATTTGTTACTTTTAAATATATTATTATTTTTGTTGATGTTACGAGAGATTAAAATAAAAATTTAAAAAATTTAAAAATTAAATATAATAATTTTAAATTTGAAAGATCTAAAATAATTGTATTTAAAATTTGAAAAATTAAAAATATATTAAAAAACATTCTTTCCCTTTTGTTATGCAGGAATTAAATCGAATGACCCATAATTATAAAATTCAAATTTAGGATCACATTACTCAAAATTTCTATATTTAGGTACGTTTTAATGGTTTGTCTAGTTTAATTTGTTTTAATTATTATTATTTTTTATTTCAATTATACACAATTTTTATTTTCACTATTTTTAATTTAATGGAGTTTTTTAATTTAGGGATTTTTTTTGAAGGATTAATTTAGGAAATTTAATCTCTATAAATTTTCTTCTAATCAGAATCTTTAAATTCTTTTTTTTTTTATTTCTCCAAATTAAATTATATTTTATTAAAAATTCATGAATCTATACATACTTTTTTCCCCACTCTCACTCTACATAAAATATTTCAAAAATTTTCAATTTCCACTAAGATTTAAAATTATAACTTTCAAAATTATCTCATCCCTTAAATTCATTTTAAGCTTTTAAGTGCTATGCAAAAGAAAATTAATGAAATAAAGCTATTCAAAAAAATTTATATTTAATATTATAACAAACATATTTTCTTTGATCATTTTATAAAACTCAATTATATAATTCATCAAAATTTAAAATAAAAAAAAAAGGTTAATTTAATCGATAGCATTAGATTTATTTCAAAAATATTCCTAACATTAAAAAATAGTTATCCTACTAACTACTTGTTAATTATGATAAATAACTATAATTAAAAGTGTTTTTAAAAAAAATTAATGCAAAAAACACTTTATTTGATCCGCATAGAAGAAAAGATCAAACAAAACTTTCTGATTTAAACCATATAAAAAGAATTGAAGGGAGTAATTTTTTTCTTATTCATATTTGAAACACTGGTTTAATATTTCACACCTAAAAGTTCACATGGTAACAATTTATTAACAATTGAAAGACACTATTTGATTCGTTTGACATCTAAATGTTCACATGGTTCACGTGTTAACAATTCATTAACTATTGAAACACACGTATACAAGTTAACTTTATACTCCAGAGGAATTTTAATTATTTTTTAACTTTTGTCCTTTTGTAACTTTTTCCCCTTAATCATTATCCATTCCATTCATATAAGTAGTTCACAGGATCATTTTTAAACTAACAATTATTAATTTTGTGCATTATACTTCCTGTTAATATAATATCCGAAAAATATAATATAAATACACTACCAAACTATATAACTATTTTAAATATTATAACAATCCGTCGTAATTATTATATTATGTAAAATTATTACTAGTAATAAAAATTAGTCTACTAGAATTATAAAAGTTTAACAATCATATATATGGACATATATACAATAAAAATATAAAAGTAAAATTATTGTACGAGTATAAATCATACATATGTATATACAATAATCTCTAGGTAAATTATATTATTTAATGCTAGTTGAACACACCAATACAAGTTACATAAAGTAGTTCTGATACCATCAAAAGTTCCTTCACTTGCTCCTTCAGCTTAGTCCTAATATATTCTCATATAACTATAATCATCACAGTTTAAATTATATGGAAACAAAAAGGTAAGCTAAAGTCCGAAAATATATAAGCATAGAAAATAATTCATCATACCCATAAACATATATGAACTCTAAATACTTCAATGCTAACATATATCTCATCCAAACCATGTCACATAGGATATCCAACAACACATAACATACATCATATGCATACACCTTAGATAATGTGTCGTCAAATTTTCACCTACATGATTTCTCGAATTTTGCCACTTGCACTAAGTAAATCCAATTCCACTGTTAGGAGTGATACAATTGGATATAGGTGTACCACAACCTTATCATGCATTATCAAGTCACATGTAGAGTTAGACCATTAATCATCCTCAAAGAACCATGTAATCTTTTCAAGTACTTGGTTAAGGATTTTAGTCCTCGACTTCCTACCTTACTCAACCACTAACTATAGATATAGAGAAAACTCAACACATCTCTAAACTCACTCCAAGATACATACTTACTTATGGGTGGTTTTCCAACAATGGCCTACCCGAACATCACTTCAAAGTTTCTATATTTTATTAAAAGATACTTATAAATATAAATTAGTTTAAAATTTATGAATGTTTATTTTATTAATATTAGTGAAATCGAGGCATTTTGTATATCTATATTTTATTTAATAAAATATTTAAAAATTACTAATATTTATTGAATTAATTAGTATTTTATTTGATCTTCAAACATCAAAATCTTGAATTCAAAACTTAGGTTTATAAAGATAGATAATTTCTCCTATTATTTTTTATTATTTAAAAATTTAAGGATAAAATTATCTAAAATATGTGTACACTTATTTAGGTTACATATGTTATAGACTACATATTATTAATAATATAGATAATAACGGAATTTACACCTTAAAAAATAAAAATAAAAAACAGTTTTTCACGTTATAAATAGGGTAGGACTCGGACGATCGTACCACAGCAGTTAGCCCCAATTAGCCAGCAAAAACCCATTTCTTTTTGCATCCAAACCTTTGAGAATGAACGTTGTAATGTCTACCAAGTCTTCACTAAAGTCTCTTCTCCATAGTGCTGAGAATGAGCACAACCCACTTACCATGTCTGATGAACAAATTTTGGAGCAAATTTACTCAACCCATGTCCACAGTGACACAAAGTTTGATGTCGACTCGCTTTTCACCCTTGTTGAGAACACCCTTAGACGTTCAACCCACATTGTTGACAATGTTGTGCAGGTATAAATTAAATTTTTCTTCTTTCCATCCATGTTTTCACTTCAAATATCCATGCATGCACTCATTTTAAATTTCTTTTACAGGGATCCCATGCAAGCTTGGAGCACATAGATGACAAGATCCCCCAATTCAATTCACCACTCTGTACCCTGAAGCAAATTTCTCATGAGGTCATTCACATATCTGACTAACTCAAAGAGAAAAGAAAAAAATAATAATAATATACACTTAATTATACACGCACAACATGATACTAAAATTGTGGTAGTGAATTAAATTGATGAAAATATAATGTTTAATAGCTCATGCATGGACATAACATAGTATGAGTTGTGGGTGGCAGATGTCATGCAAGCCTCCAAGTGAGGAAGTTGCTCACAAAACTACGTTGGCTATACTTAACAAGCTCTCCAACTATGAGTGGGATGCAAAGGCTGTGTTGACAATCGCTGCTTTTGCACTCGAATATAGCGAGTTTTGGTTCCTTGCTCAGTATCAACCAACAGACCCACTTGCAAAATCTATTGCTATTTTGAAGCGAGTGCCAGTGCTCACAAAGCCTGCAGCACTTCAAAAGTATCGCCAACCAATTGTTGAGCTCAACAGTTTGGTGAAAGCAACACTGCAAGTGATTGAGTTAATCTTTGAGTTGGAGAAGCTTACCACTTACAACACCAAGGATGTGCCTGCTTTGGAAGATGCAATAGAGCAAATCCCTGTTGATGTCTATTGGGCAATCATAACTATCGTTGCTGTAGTTACTCAAATTGATTGCCTCACCACTGAATCGTAAGTTTTTCACCAACAAATCTATTACTTGTTCCATAAAACCTTCTATACTATATTTTTCTAATATATTGATTATTGAAGAGAGCTCAAGCAAGAATTGTCTCACTATGGTCAAAAGATCAACATCATACTCAGCAAACTGAGGAAGCAGATAACTCTCTGCAGACAACAGATTGGTTAGCAATTAATAAAATAATCGTCTCTCGTTTTATTCTCTCAACATCTTTTTCCTTAAAGCTAGTGTGTTTCTCATTCAAAACTATAATATTATCGCAAGCTCCGGATTTTCTATGAAATTCTAATGAGAGGGGATATATCTACATTTTTGCAGAGGAGGTAGAATATTATCGAAAGCTCAGAAAAATTCTTCAGACCCCCACTGAAATAATGGAGGTGTTCAAGTTTCTGATTTTCTTCAAGGGTGCTCCTCAGCTACTGTTTGATGGTGCTACTAAGACCACGGTTTGTGATTCCTTCTCAAATTCATTAGAATTTGTTCCCGTACGAAAGAAAATGAGTGTGGAATTTATGCTTGATTTAGTTAATATTTTGCTCTTGTTCAAATTACTACATTTAAAAATGTTGAAACAATACACAAAATGACTCGAAATCCTCATAACTAAGGTTGTGTTTGGATTAGGAGATTTAAATAGAGTAATTTATTTGTTTAAAAATTTTCAATTTTTTTGAGATAAAATTTTTTGTTTGAATGAAAAATTTACAAAGAATTTAAATTTTAAATATTTTTAAAACTCTTTAAAATAGTAGAATTTTAAATCTTTTTAAAAAATAAGAATTTAAAATTTATTGTATATTTATCTTATTTCACTTATATATTTTATCTTATCTCTTCATGTGTTTAATTATTAAATATTCAAAAATATTTTAAAATTATTAAATATTTTCTAATATTAATTTTTAAAATTATTAAA